GGAGGAGGAGGAGGAGATCGATGTCTGGGGTGCTCAATTAAAGGAGAGAAGCCCGTTATCAGAAAAATCTTCATGACTTAACTCTCGGATACCCGCAGAGGTGAGCCAGCAGAAAAAAACACAGAGGAATTGATCGAGTTTTGTAATGTCCTATCGCGTGTGTCCTTAACTGAAAGTGGGGCCACGCAGTCCAGCGGATAGGCGAATGGTGGTTTGTGGTCACGTGATTTCTCCTCTCAAATAAGCACTTGCCACTTTTAAAATCTCCTTAGGCATTTTATTTCAGCTGGACGAATACGCCAAATGGCCCTAGCATTGACTTTCTCCCCCCCCCCCTTTGCCACATCATGGCAACTGTTAATATTGACTATTGAAATTCCGCGTGTAAGTGTACCGTTCTGGGTAGTTCGCCTATGGTTGTCGATCTGACGCGGTTTTGCGTTGGGTAGACCTACTAGGACAGAATTATTCAGCCTATTTCTAGACTGTTAGATTTAAAAAGACTAGTCCAATCACGCGTCGACAATATAGGGGCATGACATTCTCAAGTGCTTAAAACGTGGCGCTATACTCCAACATTTATGCCATCAATCTCTGCTTGAATATAGAACGGTAGAAATATGCAATTAACTACAATGAGATACCCTCAGATTACCAGTAGTACGCTTGAATCCGACTTCCGGACATGTGTGCCACACCAACAAACATAGCACCCCTATGACAACGACTTTGGACTCCGTTCTGAGCAGGAAGACGAATTCGCCCGTTGGCTTAGCTGCCGGCTACCTTGAGTGGTCGTCAGTGGGATTACCTTCAGTTGATGAAAACGTAAACACCAGCCATCAGTGGTAGTCGCAGCTGAAGGTGGAGGGTTCTGATTTTTACCATAGAGTCCAGTTACGGTGGTACGAAATTGAGGTTGCAAACCGCCATGGAAATCCTCCAACCACTGCTTTGAAGGCTGGCCATTATCAGAAGGCAAAATAGACGGCTGTGAGATCTAGCGTGTGGCAAAGCGTCTACGGTCAGTTATGTGCCTCGGTAATAAACAATGGCTGTTTCCAAAACACTCTTACAGTTGCGCGTGTAGTAGTTAAGGGAGTTTGTCCTTAAAGAATATGCTCACTTCGTGATACTTTGTTCCTCAGACATGAGCATGTTGCAAAAACTATCTTCGCCGCTTTGCGTTCGTCAGTTCCTATAAAACACACGGGTGTTGCAACTGCTGGAGTGATGCTCGCGGCACGAGTTCTCATGTACGAGGTGAACGCGGCAAGACTTTATTTGATCAAGAAGTCGCCAACCAATCGAATCGACTTCCGTAGGCACCCAGATCAAGAAAACAAACGGGAGATCTTGTAGAGGCGGACCAACGAGGTGGGCAGGCCAACTGTTGTTCCCGGTCAATTTCAATCCTCCTCAGGTAGCTAATCGATTGCGGCGGGTGCTGGCCAATGGCAAGCCTTAATACTGCCGCCGACCCACTGACTAGCTCCAAGTAATCACCGTGTACGATCATTGCGGACCGTAAATCCGTGCTTCCGTAGTAGGCCATTCGCTCAAGAACCAGCTGGCCCCCTGTTAAAACTTCGGATTTGTCGACCTAAAAATGTGGGATGCCTGGATGAAGACGACAAATAAGCCGGAAGTGGTCAGTTCACCTTCCTCACTGTCTCTGAAGTACTGACTTGTCGCCGCAGTGTGGCCACGTTCAATGGCCCTAGACCGGCGGTCCGAGTCAAAATGGAACGCTCGTACGTCGGTTTGCACACAGTCACTACTCGATTTTCAGTTAGTGTTCTCCAGCGAGTTAGTAACGAACAGGAACAGCCAACGGCCCAGTCTCCTTGTCATAGCGGTCCTTCACTAGTTATTTCGAAACCGTAAATAGAAAAACTACATAAATCCAACCTAAATCAGGGCAGTAGCTGGCGCCAGGAGCCCGCCGCATCCATACCAGGCCCATAAGTGTATACAGACGTTCGTTAACGCAGAATGGGTTGGTGCGCGATGCAAAGCTCACCTATGAACGACCCGGCATGACTGTCAATCCAGCTGCGAAGCCTCACGGTGGAGACACCCAGACCTCCGCAAAGAGCTGGTCTTGTCTCGAGAGGCCTTAAAGCCGCCGTGATCCGCCCGGTGGAGGCAATACCAGCGAGCACAGCCGATATGCCCGGACTGGGTGAAATAGTGGAAACTTTAGAAGGCCAGGCTTACCTACAGATCTATGAACGATCCTGGAAGTCAGTCTCGGGACCTGAGGGACGAGTGCAATTCCGGCAAGGAATAAATTATCACGTCGCCCCGGACGAAAGTCAGCCCAGCAACGCAAACCTATTTTCCATGAATGTCAAAAACGCTGTGTGGCACATTCATTCATCTGGAAGAAGGAATTTGAGGTGCCGAATATCCTATCCAGCGAGGAACTTGGAAATTCGACTGCCGGGAGAATACCTCTTCAGTCATCATGGGACTCCAAGTACTGGCACATTTAGACTGCGAAGACACACCACCGCTCAGTTGCAACACAGAACGTGCACAACGCGATAGCCAGGTACTACCCATGTATTCAGCGGTTATGCAGCCGAGAATGAAGATACTGTTTCAGCCAGACATTGTGAGAGTCGAGGAATAATGCAACGTGCAGGACTCCAAAAGTCCCCACTAGGATGTTCAGAGTTCCGGGGTTGCATTGCCAACGCGGCCGGCTGGGTTATCATTCGTTTCTCTTAGGGGATTCCTTCAGCTGTACCCGCTAGACAAGAGTGATGGCACAAAACTAACAGTTGGGCGCGTAACGACACGGGTATCACACCAACGCTAAAACGGCACGGAAATAGGATTCCTGTCAGTCAACTTGCAGAAGAGCTTCAGGCAATTAAAATGCATACAGAACAATAGATAGCACTGCCCGGTGCATCCAGCATTTCCTCTGCTTAACTACGATCTCCCAGCATGTCCTTGGTGTGAACATCGCGGTGCTCGAGTTAGACTGATGCGAAGAACTTGCGAATTCGATGATCGTGTAAAAGTGAGCTGAAGTGGTAAGTGCGTCTTGTACACTGCAAACGCCAGGCAAGAATGCATTTAAGGCCCAAGAAAGAGGAACAAAGAAGGGGAAAGAGAGAGTGTGAAAGAGAGAATAAAGAAATGACAAATCTAGCTGCAATCACAGAAAAATAATGACACTGATGGCTTGCTTAGCTTAGATGACACTTTGCTTGTAAACTGAAATCCACCTTTACGGAGCGGACTAGACGTTTACACTGGAAGAACATGAAGAGGAGGGTAAAGGGTCTACAGTTGCACAGGAATATTTGGGCCTGAGAAGAAGTCAAGATGCCGTGCGCAACAGTTAAATGTGGGCAGTATGTACAATAGGACAAACAGACCATGTTGTAGAGGACCTTGGCGCGGAACCGACAAGGTGAAGGAACGCGGGAAAGTTGAATGGTGCTTCAAAAAATGATAAAATTGTATGGGTTGTAATTCTGGACACGCCAATGCAAAGGTCGAACCGAGATTTCAGTTGCGGTACCAGGGAAAGACTCAGACGGACGGCTGGTACATGGGAGATGGCCAAAGCTGGGAGAACGTTTACTGTGAATTTGGATTCCTAGACAGTGCACAGTCGGTATGAGTGTACAGGCCGAGAACATTAGTTGTGAAGTGCAGAACTCCAGCGGCCATGAGCATGAGATTGTAGTTGAAAAGAAGGTAGGCGCGTAACTTTGACACGAGGGCACTAACCGTGTCTAGCGATGCCCAGCAGCAGAAAAAAACGGCAACTCAACAGGAAAGTAACGCAAGAGGGGTATCTTTCAATCTCTTCGTGTTTGTCA